AAATGGTGCCCACATGGGATGCCGGCACTGCAGGTGTCAGCTTTTCCTGCTATGCCACAGCACCAGCCCCACACCCTTATTTAAGTACTAGCTATGCACAATTGTTCCTTGAGTGCAAAAACATGTTTTTAAAGGCGTTGTTGATAGGCTGGTGCTTTGTTGTAGTGGGTAAAGCCAATGACTGCAGTGCCAGCATCCCATATGGGCGTCAGTTCAAGTCCCGGCTGCTGCTCTTCCGATCCAGCTCTCTGCTACAGCCTCGGAAAGTAGTAGAAGATGGCCCAAGTCCTTGGGCCCCTGCACCCGTGTGGGAGACCCGGAAGAAGCTCCTGGCTCCTAGCTTTGGATCAACCTAGCTTCAGCTGTTGTGGTCAACTGGGGAGTGAACCAGCAGATGCAGGATCCATCTCTCTCTCCCTCACTCCCTCTCCCTCCTCCTCCCCATCTCCCTCTTCCTCTCCCTCTCCCTCTCACCTTCTCTCTCTCTGACTCTCTGATATTCTTGTATAAATAAATAAATCTTTTTAAAAAAGGCATAGTTGAGCTTGTAGGAAGGAAGTCTCAGGAGTGCGAAAAAAGAGCTACAAACGAATGTGGTAAGTGATTGATGCCTTGAGCACATTTGACAACACCAGGAACTGAACGTTTTGGGTTTTCATGGCCTTACGTGTGGAGACAAGATCTCGGGCTCAGGGAAGGTGGAGGGTTGGAACTGAGACCTCTGCATAAAGTCAGGCTCTCAAAGGATACTCAGGTCAAAAGAAATGGAAAGAAAAGAGAGAGAATGCGGGAGAGTTGATCTTCAGCATAGCTGAAGAGCACAAAATACCAAGAGAGAATCTTAAAAGTTGCCAGAGAGAAAAGGGAGGTCATCTGAAAACAATGATTAGACTGGAGGCAGCAGCCAGAGGAAAGCCGAACCGTCACTTCAGACTGCTGCGAGAACACTGTCAGGGTGGATAGCTACCTCAGTCATGGATTTAAGAATACAGTCAGCGAGGAGCCTTTCAGAAAAGCAGAAGCAGAGTTATCAGATGCTTGTGAAAGAAGCTTTTAAGAGTATACATCAGGGCCGGCGCTGCAGCTCACTAGGCTAATCCTCCGCCTTGCAGCGCCGGCACACCGGGTTCTAGTCCCGGTTGGGGCGCTGGATTCTGTCCCGGTTGCCCCTCTTCCAGGCCAGCTCTCTGCTGTGGCCAGGGAGTGCAGTGGAGGATGGCCCAAGTGCTTGGGCCCTGCACCCCATGGGAGACCAGGAGAAGCACCTGGCTCCTGCCATCGGATCAGCGCGGTGTGCCAGCCGCAGCGCGCTGGCCGCGGCGGCCATTGGAGGGTGAACCAACGGCAAAGGAAGACCTTTCTCTCTGTCTCTCTCTCTCACTGTACACTCTGCCTGTCAAAAAAAAAAAAAAGAGTATACATCAGGATTAAAGAAATGATACTAGATGAAAGTCTGAGATTTATAAAACAAAAATAATGTCTAATGTGGAGGTGAAACACAAGAATAGTGCTAACATATTGGATGTAATAACTTGTAAGACAAGAGGATTGTGCATAGCATTATAAGTTAGGGAGGAATAGAGCTATTGATTAACTTTCGACTTTAAGTACACATGCTAGAATTTAAGAGTAATCACAAAGAATAGTAACAGAGTATATACCCCCCCCCCAAAAAAAAAAAAAAAACCAGCAAAATGAAAATAATAGTCTGGGGCAGGTGTTTGGCCTAGCAGTTAAGACACTGGTTGAAATATCTGCATCCCATATGAGAGTGCCTGAGTTCAAGTCCTGGCTCTGGTTCCTGGCTCCAGTTTCCTGCTGATGGAGATCCTGAGAGGCAGCAGTGGTGACACAAGTAGTTGGGTCCTTGCCACTCATGTGAGATACCTGCAGTGAATTCCCAGCTCCTGGCTTTGGCCCTGTCCCAGCCTTAGCCACTGCAGGCACTTGGGGGATACAGGAGTTCTGTCTGTGTGCCTCTCAAATAAATAATTTTCTTTTTAAAAACCACTTTGAAAGAAATGAGGAAAGTATAAAAAAGATAGGAAATGCAGAACAGATAGCACAAAATAAATTGGTAAAAATATCCCAAATATATCAACAATTAAAATTACAATAAAATACAAATGAACAAAACTCACTAGGAAGATGTTGGTGCCAGTATTTGGTCTAGTTCTTAAGATACCCTTGTTCCATACTAGAGTGCTTGAGTTTGATTCCTGGTTCTAGCTGCTGATTCCAGCTTCCCACCAATGCAGATCCTGAGAGGCAGTAGGTGATGGCAAGTACTTGGGTCCTGCCACCCATGTAGGGGACCTGGATTGAGTTCCTAGCTCCTGGCTGCAGTCCCGGCCTAGCCCCAGCTGTTATAGGCATTTGGAAAGTGAACCAGTTGATGGGAGCGCGGTCTGTCTCTCAAATAAATAAGTAAATTTAAAAAAGAAAGATGTTCTCAGAGTGGATTAAAACAAAACAAAATAATCCAGATATTAACTGTTTCCTAGAGAAAATGTAAAATACAAAGACCGGGTATATCAGAATAATTAATGTCAGGTGCTGTGAGAGCCCCTAAGATGTCTGAGGCTTGACACACAAAGTTTATTTCTTGCTCACATGGTAATTCGTCCTGTCCAGCTGCTACCCTGGCTGTCTCTCCCTCAGTAGGGACATGGGAAACTGGGGTTCTCCAATCCTGCTTCTACCACCTTGGAGTTTTCTGTCTAAAGCCATATGAACAGGGGAGAGATAAAATGAACACCAGCCATGTACAACATGTTAGGGGTCAAGTTTGGAAGTGGTATACATCACTTTTGCTCACATTCCTTCTGGACAGGACTCAATCCACATGAACTCAATATAAGTTTTTAAAAAAAAGTTTGGGAAATGCATTCCCAGGAAGAGGAAATGAAATCAGTGAACATCTAGCCAGTCTCCGACATATAAAAAGGTTAAAAATAAAAGAAAATGGAAAAGGATATGCCAGGCAGACACTAAGCAGAAAAAGCTGGAGTAGCTCTGTTCTTACTGGATGAAATAATCTTCAAGGAAAAGTGCATGATTGGAAACAAAGAGAGTAACTACATAATGAGAACAGATGGGATTTCCCAGGAAGAGATGCTAACTCTGCAGTTATTACACAAGGGGCTTCAAAATATTCATGGGAAATTCAAGTGACTTTTTATTTCAATTTTCTGACAAACTTTTTGAAGGCCCCTAGTAACTAACTAATGATGCCTTTGAATAACATAAAGTAAATATTGACAAAATTATGAGGACAAACTGACAAGCCCAATACCATAGTAGGACATAACAGCACATATACTTTTTACTAACTGATGTCTCATACAGATGAAAAGTTAGCATATGGAAAACATAAAGAGTACAATAAGCTTGAACAAAAGTAAATGTACAGAATTTTGTATCCAGTTATAGGAAATGCATAGTTCTGTTAACAGTGCATGAAAAATGTATGAAAATTGACCATGTACTTGGCTATAAAGCAAGTCTCAACAAGTTTCCCAGAAACAGTATCATACAAATCATGTTCTCTGATTACAGTGTGATCAGGTTAAAGATAAATAACAGAAGGATAACCAAAAGAAAGAAAACTGGGGGCTGGTGTTGTGGCACAGCAGGTTAAGGCTCCACTTGTGGTGCTGGCATTCCATTTCAGAGCACCGGTTCCAAGTCAGAGATGTTCCACTTCTGATCCAGCTCCCTTCTAATGTGCCTGGCAGATCAACAGGAGATGGCCCAAGTGTTTGGGCCCCTGCCACTCAAGTGGGAGAGAAGAATGGAGTTCTTGGCTCCAGGCTATGGCCAGGCCCAGACCTGGCTGTTGCAGCCACTGGGGAGTCATCCAGTGGTTGAGGATCTCTCTGTCTCTCCTTCTCCCATTGATCTTTCAAATATAAATAAATAAATAAATAAATAAATGTTTTTAAAGAAAACTGTATATAGAGGTGTTCATTCTATTGTTAATAATGTTCTGTAGTGAAATATTAGAGACAACTGAAATTTCCAACAATACCGCTATGGTTAAGTATGCCTTGTTGATCCAATGGGCTATCATGTGACCATTATAATTATTTTTAGTGAAATGTCTTTAAGATACAATATTAAATATGAAGCTTAAATCTATGTCACCTATGAACACAATCATGTGAAAATAATGTATGCTCTAGAGAGATTAGAAAGGTAAAAGCAAATGAAAACAGTTGCTGTATTATGGTGATGGCATTATGTGTAAGCCTACTTTTAAAAGAATTTTCTGTGATGTGGTTACATTGTTTAATGTGAGTTAAAAAATTAATGGGAGACATGATCTCTGCAGTAGATGCTAGCTGTACCTTTATATCCATGATGTACTTCTTTTCTAACAGTAGAGCTTTAGTTGGGGACATAACTGTTCCAAATGAAAGTACATTTCCCAGCCTCCCTTGTAGCTAGATACCATGGTGAGATGAAGTTATAGCTAATGAAATACGAGAAGGGAGTACCTGGAAACCTAGAATGTGTCCTTGCTTTCTCCTCCTCCATCTTGCTGCTGAAATCTTCCTTAGCTGTTTATTACACGGACTATGGATGGACTGAGTCTGCCATGTGTTAGATCTGGTGAAGGACTGTTTATCAAATTAATGAATGAGAATATGTGTGACTCATGAGACAAATAAGCATTTTTCCATGCAATCAGTGTCCAGTACAAGCTCTGAAAACAAGGGGATTATCCTTCCTTTTTTATTTAAAACAAGGATGTATTAATATTAAAGAGTGCACATTTATGTTTTAAATATATTCTAGTGGGAATCATATATATCTACTCCAATATTCTTTTTCATTCATTTCAGAGAATATTTTAGCAGTGCATAGGATCCTTTTATAGGCTGCCATGCTTGAGTTAGATCAGCAATCAGTCTACCAATTTTAAATCAACCAGTTGTAAATGTTAAGCAAAATAAAAAACTGTATCTTTAAAGTTCAATAAATAATGACACTTTATTTAGTTACCATAGCCTCTGTTAAGGTTTGATATAATCCAATAGCCTGGATCACAGAAGAAATCAATAGTTTGCACTATATCAGGAATGAGAATTTATCAATTCAAAATGAAATTGATAAATATTACTCAAAACAGTCTTTATCCTTAAAAAATACCCAAAGTACAGCATGAAAGTGGATGCAGCACTTTGCCCCAGGTGCTTACAATGCTCAGTAATGATTAGGTATGCTATGTCATGCCTACTGCAGCAACAAATCCATTATTATTTTTATTATAATTCAGAGTAAGTCATTCACAAGCTGTTCTGCAAAAACAACATGAAACTAGAAAAAAAAGACGCTGGAGCCTGACTCAGAGCAGCCTTTTATTCCGTGAATTCTAATATTTATGCTAAGCATGGCCTGCTCAGATATTTTTTAAATGAAGCAAAATCAAAATGGAATAAAGGTCCCAGGGTCTAATTTACTCATTATTTCTTGAACAAAACAGTATACCGCGAGTTGGAAGGCATCTAACAGAAATAATTTAGATTAAAATTCTGTTGGTAAAAATATCTGCACCTATGGTGATCCAAACGGGCTAACAAATAAGTCACACATTTAGTTACAAGAGCATAGTGAGGACTTGCTTCTATTTTATTTTCCTCTATGACTCATGCTCATCACTAATAGAGAGGCAGATTGTTAAACAAGGTTGGCTTTCTATCAGTTAGCTACGCATTAAGAGGATGGAGATTTATCAATATGCAGGTTTTCACACCAGGTAAATAATTCCTTTTCTTCTTTTTCCAATTCGGTATCTGATGCAGATTCTTTCACCTCCACAATGTCAAAAGATGGGGTGGAGAGGATGATTGTCTCTTGTGGCTTCTGAGTTGGTGTTTCCGTTTTCAGTTTCTAGGTAGATTTATAAATAAAAACAGAAGGTGTTAATATTTGGTTTTTGCTACTTTATATTTTTATATTTGATGCTTTACAATTAGCTTCATCCCCAAAATATTTACTACAGATTTAAAAAATTATAAAGTAATATATGAATGTTTATTGTAAACATTTCCACAATGTAAAATTATACTGAGGAAGACTTTCTATAGCATAGCTTTTAATACGTTTCAATAGAAATGACTTCCATTTTGAAAAAGTACCATCAGAGACGTGCTGAATCAACAGTGTATGGAGACTGTTTTTTTGCTAACTTATGCTGATGTGGAGCCCAAACAGCTGTTGTTTGTTAGAATAGCTATTAAGAATTTTTAAAATACATGTTATCAATATGGAAGCAGTCTTGTGCTACCCCAAGTATAATATGCCAAAGAGGTTTCAGCTGTGAATTTAAAGATCAGGAATATTTTACATAAGTAGAATTACTTACAGGCAGTTTGAATATTGTCTGTAAAACAATGAATGGAGTACAAGTTAAACTTATAGTCACCTCAAGAGCAGGTTTTTCTTTACCCGTCTTATAAGCTTTCTTCATTTTTTCAACTTTGATTTTAGCTTGCTTGGATCGACGTCCCATGTGTTTGCACTGGCTTTGGAGGTAGGAGAGCCGAGATGAAGATGGGCTACTGGTGAAGGATGTAGGATATCTAGAAAATGTTTGAATTGCAGATAGGAACATCAAACAAAATAAAATTTAAATGTAAAGCAAGTTCTAAATTTGATGGATATCATTTATCATTGATATTTATTTATTTCACTAGTGTAATTACAGCCACATTGCGTGTAAGCTTTTAGCTTAGACTTATCGCTGCCTGAGCCTACACAGCGTAGTTCTTAACCTGGCGTTTACGAAGATGTGTAGGTGATGGTGCTGACAACAGGGGTGAGGAAACTTAACCAAACCTGGTACTGATTTAAAATTAGCTTTCCTGGAAAGCACTGCGTAGTAGCATGTGCGTGTTTTTCACCATGCGCTAACACAAAAAAGGATTGCCTTTCATAATGGCTGACCAAAGCTGTTTTTGTTTTAATCCGTGTTGGGATCAGACAGAGCTGGTGCCACGCCCACAGTCCCCTTGACCTTGCCAGTGCAGGGCGCATAGGCGCCACTTCCAAGGGCCAGCATGTGCATCTGTCAGCCTGGGAGCTTTCTCTGGGAATGAGTGCACGAGCAGGGACGGCTGGCCGTGCCGAGGATTACTGCCTCCCCTCCTGAGCAGCCCCGAACCGATGACTGGTGGGTGCGGGTGTGTCAGTCCCCCACTCCCGTGGGAAGGCCCCGAGTTGCATGTTCTGTGGTGACTCTGACGCTCTCGGGAGGGATTCGGCTCCACTTAGCCATTGTGGTAACTTGCTTACTAACACACACACACACACACACACAGGGCTGCCTTCCCTCACTGTTCCACTTCCCCACCGTCTCCCATCAGTGGTCCCTGGGATCACCTCCCAAATGTACTACCTGTACCCAAACCCTTGCCTCGGGCTTTGTTTCTGGGAGATCCCAAACTAAGATGGCCTCCCCTGATTTCATTATGAAAGCATTTGCCCCTCTTTAATTGATTTAGAATCTGGCTACCACTCTGGCTCTTAAGTGACTCATGCTTGGATAATCAGTAGCATGAATCCAAACAGCAAGTAGCCTGGGGTTATCATATATGGTGGCAGAGAAAATTGCATCATTTATTTGACCTTGGTGGTAATAGGGTTAAGTTCTACATTCAGTGCTCATGTGGATGAGTTAGAGAAAATCTATTTCGTGATGACAGACTGTGCCATCTGTCTGGCAAATGTATAGCCTTGATCATAAAATAAATGGTTTAAATTTCATTATTGGGTCAGCATCACTCATCTCCACTCTTGGAAAAAAATAGAAACCAGCATGTTTGCTTGACTGTGGGCCTTCAGTGTCTTCTTCATGTATTAGAGGAGTATTTTTCATTTCAGTTATGAGTGTGTGAAAACAATAGGCCCTCTTCAGTCTCACCGTGTCTTTTTCTTAAGAAATCCAGTGTAATTTGTAAGTAAGATGGGCTACATGAGACTTAGTAATGGAAAGAAAAAAGGAATATAATTGGAGCAGTCATATTCTGTCCATCTTGTTTCAGATCACAATACATCTATTTTGCTACAACATGTGTTTCTATAATGTGAATTGGCTCACACGCTATTGGTAACGGAGACAATAATGTCACTGTAATTTCTATGCAATTTATCCAAGGCAAGGGGAGCCAGAATAGCAAGAATAGAATTATAACCTGCAGTGGAAAAGGAAAAAAAGCCCTCAGCAGCACTGTGCTGCGTGGGCAGCGGGAGCCCTTTAGGCTGGATCTGGGAAAACAAAGGGCTGTCCTCAGACACACCCCTCCCCCACCACAAACAAACCCACTGTTGCTGCCCTTGACCCTCCTCCCCACCTCAGAGAGCTCTCGGCTCTGGGCAGGTTACAGTCTTTCACATGTCCACTAGAAAGGCCCCACGTCCACCTGCACTGTCTTCATGTCCACTACCTGCTCTAATTACACAGTCGCTGGTACTTCCACACTGTTGCACATTTTTCACATTTACTGCGGCAGCCTCTAGCCACACTGAGCTGCTTGGTCCATGGTACAAGTTACCTCCCCAAGAACCAACTGTCCTTTTTGTCAGTGCACTGTTTACAAAGTTGCATAAGTTTTGAGCAATGTGCCCCAACCCTATCTTTCCCCAAAGCCCTATTATTATCTTCACTTAGCTATTTGGCAGAATGTGAACATTTTCAGAAAGGCCCCTTGTGTTGTAAATGATGAAGAATATCCTTTACCTAACTTCAGAAACAATCTGTAGCTGGTGCTGACGCATTTCTTCTGTTCCTGGTCTCTGTAACAGATACTTCATTTCTTTTTGTAGACGGTTTGAGATTACTCTGGACTCTGCATAATCAAGTATGTCATATATCATCATTGTCCTGGGGATGTTTTCAAGGTTTAATTTTCGCCAGTAGTTATTTCTGCCACCAGAAGATGCAGGGGTCTCATCCAGAAGACTGGAATACTATATGGAAAAAAAATGATTAAGAATGATTGTGGGGCCGGCGCTGTGGCTCACTAGGCTAATCCTCCGCCTTGCAACGCCGGCACACTGGGTTCTAGTCCCGGTTGGGGCGCTGGATTCTGTCCCGGTTGCCCTTCTTCCAGGCCAGCTCTCTGCTGTGGCCAGGGAGTGCAGTGGAGGATGGCCCAAGTGCTTGGGCCCTGCACCCCATGGGAGACCAGGATAAGCACCTGGCTCCTGGCTTCGGATCAGCGCGATGCGCCAGCTGCAGCGAGCCGGCAGCAGTGGCCATTGGAGGGTGAACCAACGGCAAAAGGAAGACCTTTCTCTCTGTCTCTCTCACTGTCCACCCTGCCTGTCAGAAAAAAAAAAAAAAAAAAAGAATGATTGTGGGGCCGGCACCGTGGCGTAGCAGGTAAAGCTACCGCCTGTGATGCTGGCGTCCCATAATGCTGGTTTGTGTCTTGGCTGCTCAACTTCCGATCCAGCTCCCTACCAATGGGAAAGCAGGCGAAGTCAGCCCAAGTGTTTGGGCTCCTGCGACCCATGTGGAAGACTTGGATGAAGCACCTGGCTCCTGGCTTTGGCCTGGCCCAGCCCTGGCTCTTGCAGCCATCTGGAAGTTCTCTATAATTCTGACTTTCAAATAAATTTATCAACCACTTTTTTTTAAAGGATTGTTTGGGAGCTTTAGAACATTGTTAGATGCATTTCCCAAGGTTCCATTCAAATATCTCTTCATCCAAAAGGCATTCCTTGGGACTGGCATCGTGGCATAGCAGGTTAAGCTATGGACTGCCATGCCGGCATCCCATATGAACACTTCTGATCCAGCTCCCTGCTAATGGGCCTGGGAAAGCTGCAGAAGATGGCCCAAGTGCTTGGGCCCTGCCACCCATGTGGGAGACCTGGATGAAGCTCTTTGCCTCTGGCTTTGGTCTGGCTTAGCCTTGGCTGTGTGGGGCCATCTGGGGAAGCAGATGGAAGATCTCTGTCTCTCCCTCTCTCTAACTCTGCTTTTCAAATAAATAAGTAAATCTTTTAAAACAAAGGGCTTTCCTTGAACCCATCTCTGAACTAGATTGAGAAGTCTCTTCCGTGACTCTAAATGTTTCATTTATCTGTGTGTATCTTAGCTCTCATACTGGAAAGCAGGATTCATGCCATACAGTATCATGCACAAAGTACCACACTCATTAAATATTTACTAGATGCACCAACATTTTTATGGCAAACATAACCAAATACATTAAACCTAGGATAAGCCTAAAAATTAATAATAGCTAAGTGTTCTGCATTCCTAGTAGGGCTCATTCACGACATATTTGGGTTGACAGGACATTTGCACAAAATCTTTTCAGAACTAATGAGCTCATCTCTGGTGCTAAGTGGAGAATTTTGCTATTCTCATTTGGAATATTTGTAGAAATCCCATTTTTCTTTTTATCCAATTTAAAATGATATTGAATTAGGAACTTAAAAAATACAAGTATATATATAATCACCTTGATATTATAAATGTGCACTTAAGAGATGGAGATAGGGCAGGAGGAGCTACAATGCTAGGAAGAGGATTAATCATGAGGTCTTTATACTACACACACACACACACATATACTCTCTCACACTCACAGGCTCTCTCATGCGCACACCCCCCCCCCACAGTATTCCTCCCTTTGTATCATTTTGGCATGCATGAATTATAATCACCACCACTTAGTTAAATAATACTGGTATCCCAATGATGTGGTTCAAATTTCAGTCAGCAGTGTTTAACCATGACCAACTGCTAGCCCTTCAGGCCACAGATCACTACATAAATGACAGATGTTCCTCATGATTAGTGACAAATCATGTCACATCTTTCATAGTTTGACAATGATTGGTCACTGTGTATCTGTTATTCAGTTCAAACATAGAGAGTAAAGTATATGACTGTGTTGTCTCTGTCTGCCAGTGACAAACTCATGTGACATCTTACAAAAATGGATCACTGAAAGGGGGAACTGGTTAACAAAGAAATAAGAAGCAGTAACACTGGGAGTGAAACTGGAATCGAATGCAAATGGAATTCTAGAAGAAATAGGTAACGGTAACGGTGGGAACTGACATGGCCATCATTCAAAAGACTGCAGATACGCAGCTAGAGGAATGTGGTGAAAGTGAGCTTATCAACATAAATGAGCAAAATGACTGTGATGAAAAGGATTTAGCTGTCCCAGAGGAAGTGATGCTGACCAAAAACCACTTCACGTTAAAGGAACTCTGAAATATTTTGCAACATTTAAAGTGTAAGGGATAAAATGTTGGCAGCCGATCCGCACTTACAAAGGAGTATGACAATCCACCAAGGCATAGAAAAGATGTTTGCTCCTTTTCTGTGAGTTACATAAGAATAAGAAGGCAAGCGCTGTTCAAACTCCTCGTGGTAAATTTTTTTCTACAGCTTCACATATTACACAATTCACCCATTAAAGTATGCAATTCAATGATTTTGAGTATATTTGCAGTTGGTGAGTTTTTTTTTTACAAAGAAACAAAACACTTTCACTCTCAATGGTTGCAATGTTGTAAATTACAGTGTACTAAGCATGAGTTTTTCCTTTCATTTTCCTATACAAGGATACTTTGCAAAGTTTGTTGAAAATGGAATGAAAAGATAAGTTTATTTTGGTGCAGAAATGTTTAAATGCATACATAGTTTTCCCATAATCCCCATTTTCTATGGACTTTCTCAAAACCCTGCTTATACATGGATTTCAGAATTTGTTGCACCAAAATAACTTGTCTTTTCATTCCATTTTCCATAACCCTTGTGAAGTGCTCTCATATATTTAAAACAGACAGTAATTAATGTTTCAGGAAACATTTCTAAAGGTCACAGGACAGTCACAATTTTCCCCATTAAGTCTGCTTCGCAGAATTTCAGCTTTCCGCTCCTGCACCACTGTGCAAAGTGAGACTGCCCATGGGTATTATATTTCCCAAAAGATCAGTAGTAACATGGGTAGTGCCCTCAGATCTGTCAGTGATCTGCTCTGTCACTTAGTAGTTGTGGGATCTTGGGCGAGGATTTTGAACCTTGAATACCCTCACTTTACTCATCTGTGGAAAGGCTCACATAATTTACAGACCTGGAGATTAAAGGAGAGAATGTGCATGTACAGAGTTGAAAACACTGGCATGTCCATAGAAGAACTCAGTGACTATCAGCAATCCTCCTAGCTCTCTCTTCCATTATGTCCATCTGGTGACTTCCCTCCATGACACTAACCCTTGACATATTCTCAACCTGCAAGTGTGTGACCCTGGTCTTAGCAAAGATAGCAGGCCTCTCCAGCTCCACTTATTTCCTGAGTCAGTTCTCTAATCTTATAAGTTAAGGCTCTTAAAAAAAAAAGAAAATAAAAAGAACACACAATTGAGAGTCTTTGAAGGTACTGCATTAATTTCATGTTTCACATTGCAGCAAATGAGTGAACAGCAGGCCGCATGAATTTCTGAGTTAGAATGTTGGGACTTCTTGATTCATTAGAACTTACAAAACAGAAGTAATGATAGTACTGGCCTCCTTGGGTTGTTAAAATAAAAGGAGTTGGTATTATAGAAGATTATTATTATTAGGTATCTCTGAGCCAGCACTGCAAACCAGCAACTCAGGAGACACACAGGGCACCTTCAGGTTCCCTTTCTGACTCATCAAGGGCCACTGCTTGTATTCACTATCTCTTGGATCTGCAGACTCACAGCCCTAAAGCAAGCACTGTTTCTCCCATGCTGCTCCAGAGCCTCCACACCAGCAGAGGGCTGTTGCTGCCCTCAAATCCATTCTGCACACTGCAGCCAGAGGGATCGCTGCGCTCCCCCAGTTCAGGTCACCTTCTTCCTTTTCTTTCTTTCCTTCCCCTTCCTTTGTTTCCTTCCTTCCTTTCCTTCCCGCCTGCCTTCCCCTCCTGCCTTCTTCCGCATTCTCCCTTCCTTCCCTTCCTTCTAAAAAAATATTTATTTATTTATTTGAAAGAGTTACACAGAGAGAGGTGAGACAGAGAGAGAGAGAGGTCTTCCATCCGCTGGTTCACTCCCCAGATGGCCACAACTGCCAGAACCGTGCTGATTGGAAGCCAGGAGCCAGGAGCTTCTTCCGGGTCTCCTGGCGCTTCAGGCCAGGGTGTTAACCCGCTGCGCCACAGCGCCAGCCCCTTCTTTTCCTTTCCTTCCTTCTTTCTTTCTTCCTTTCCTTTTTTTTTTTTAAATAGATTTGTTTGTTTATTTGAAAGATAAAGCTGTGGGGCCAGTGATGTGGTGCAGCGGGTTAACACCCTGGCCTGAAGTGCTGGCATCCCATATGGGCGCCGGTTTGAGACCTGGTTGCTCCACTTCCCACCCAGCTCTCTGCTATGTCCTGGGAAAGCAGTGGAAGATGCCCCAAGGACTTGGGCCCCTGCACGCACGTGGGAGACCTGGAAGAAGCTCTTGGCTCCTGGCTTCGGATCAGCGCAGCTCCGGCTGCTGTGGCCAATTGGGGAGTGAACCAGTGGATGGAAGACCTCTCTCTCTCTGCCTCTGCTCTGTTTAACTCTGACTTTCAAATAAATAAATAAATCTTTAAAAAAAAAAAAAAGAGATAAAGCCAGGATCCAGAACCTTCATCTGAGTCTCCCACGTGGCTGCCGGGGCCCAAGGACTTGGGCCATCTTCGGGTGCTTTTCCAGGTGCATTAGCAGGGAGCTGGATTAGAAATGGCACAAGCCGGCGCCGCGGCTCAATAGGCTAATCCTCCGCCTAGCGGCGCCGGCACACCGGGTTCTAGTCCCGGTCGGGGTGCCGGATTCTGTCCCGGTTGCCCCTCTTCCAGGCCAGCCCTCTGCTGTGGCCAGGGAGTGCAGTGGAGGATGGCCCAGGTGCTTGGGCCCTGCACCCCATGGGAGACCAGGAAAAGCACCTGGCTCCTGGCTCCTGCCATCGGATCAGCGCGGTGCGCCGGCCGCAGCGCGCCGGCCGCGGCGGCCATTGGAGGGTGAACCAACGGCAAAGGAAGACCTTTCTCTCTGTCTCTCTCTCTCACTGTCCACTCTGCCTGTCAAAAAAAAAAAAAAAAAGAAATGGCACAGCCAGGACAGGATGGGAAGTGGAGCAGCCGGGACATGCTGCAGGCAGTGGCTTAACCTGCTAGACCACAGCACTGGCACCACAGTCACCTTATTTGTTGAAATACTGTAGCACATTCTCCTTGTGCACAGAATAAAGAAAAAGGAAATGTCCTGCTATGGTCTAAAACCCTGCCTTATGGTCTACCAGCCTGACTATGCCACACTCCTCCCGTTCCACAGACCTGCTTTCAGGCCCTGTGGTTCCTCCTGCCACAGAGCCTGCTCACCTCCATGCAGGACTTAGCACTGCCTCCAGGAGGCTGTCACACACATCATCAATGGCCTGCCTAACAACCATTTTCCACTTCTCTTTAGCTCAAGGGAGATTTTTTTAGAAAGTGCCTGGAACAACAATATGCTCAGGGAAGGAGGGCCAAGCACTTGACTGTTCTCAGTCGAGTGTGTGGAAGGAGCTTTTTGTTAGTGATTGGTTCAGGGGGAGCACGTGATCCAGTTATGACCAATGGGATCTCAGGGGAAGTCTGTTGGTAGCTTCTGGGAAAGGTTTTTCTTCTAGAGACAAAGAGAGAGAGATGTGGGACGGGCTTTGGTGCATTGGTTAAGATGTGTTTGGGATGTCCACCATCAGAATGCCTGGGTTCGAGTTCTAGGCCTGCTCCCAAGTCCAGCTTCCTGCGAATATGCACCCTGGAAGGCAGCAGGTGATGGCTCAAGTAGTTGGGTCCCTGCCACACATATGGCAGACCTGGATGGAGTTCCTGGCTCCTGGCTTCAGCCTGGCCCAGTCCTGGCTGTTGCAAGCATTTGGGGAGTGAATGAGCTCATGGGAGATTTCATCTTGTCTCTCTGCCTTACAAATAAATAAAAAATAAAAATTAAAAAGAGCAGGGAAGATACTAGGCGTTCCCTTTCTCCTGCCTTTGGATGGAACCAAGGATGTGACCGCTTTCTTGTTGCCACTTGAAGGAAGCCAAGGGGACTGGAGAGATGCTGACCCAGAACCCTGAGGGACCACCTACCTGGGAGACTTCTCACGGGATGAGAAATGCCCTTTTATTTAAACTTTTTGTGGTTGGGAATGTTCTGTTACTTGGAGCAGAAAACCTCCAAATAAGAGAACCCTTCTTTAATATGTAAAATCCTGTCATGCACTTGTTTAGCACTGTGTAGTTATTTTTGATTTTTACTTTTTTTTTTATTGAGATAAAAGTCCTGTAGTATAAATCCACCATTTTAGTCAATTCAAAGTATATAACTCAGTGGGTTAGTATATTGCCAATGTTATGCAATTGTCACCACTATCTAATTCCAGAACATTTCCATCACCCCCAAAGGGAACCCATATTCCTAAGCTATTACCTCTCCCCTGACGCAGAAAACTGTAAGTCACGTGAGTCCATTTCTCTGGACTCTCAGAAAGCAGGTGGTTCGCAGGGCATGGAGAGCTGCAAGAATGGGGGGGGGTGACAATTATGGGATGTGGGGTTTCCCTTTTGTAATAATGAAAAGACTCTGGAACTAGATGGTGGTGATGGTTGCACCACACTGTGGCTGTACCTAAGGTCTCCAAATTGTATACTTTAACATGGTCAAAATGGTCAATTTTATGTTGTGCATATTTTACCATAAGAAATAAAATGCCTGATTCTTTCTTCTTGAGCAACAGGCTCAGGAAGCTCTTTTTTAAAAATTTGGTTTTTGACATCTACATCTAAGTTCCTTACCTGCATGTAATCTTTCATGGTGACAATATCTATATGGTCAGTTACTTTGAATTTCTGGAAAAGACGTTCATCTTCCATAATTTGATTATAAAATTTCTTTTTGCCCATGATTTTGCAAGCATCACTTACTCCCTATAAATAGAATAGGACATAGATTTTTACAGTAACAGCACAATAGCCTTAATTACCAGCACACACTGATAATTAAGGTATAATTTTTTTGAGAAAAAAAATCAAATATCATTCCTTTGTTCAAGCAGCTTGCTATTCAATATACGGGCTTCATTTCCAAAGAAGAGATTATATAGACCGTTAAACCACTTAAAATGTGTTTCCACGGCTATATCTACATAGCTTTAAAATGTGGCTAGAGAACTAGCTGAGTCCACAATCCTTGGAGGACGGTAGTTTTTAAAAGAATTGTTTTTTCTCCCTAAGAAACATTCTTTTCATGTAACGTCATTTGTGCTGTTGGTGCAGAGGAAACTTATCTGGGAATTGAGGAGGTTGCCCTAGGACCTGCATGCAAGGTGTTACAGGGAGGGACTCTGTTTTTTCTGTTCCTTAAAACATCACCCACCCCACCCCCAGAAGGAAACACTGCAGATTGCTCAAGCCTCAGTACCCGCTTTGGACTTCATTCTCAGTAGCCAGAGAGCAGCAAGTAAAGATGTTTCATTTTTTTTACCCTTGTCACCCAAATGTCAACATTCTGTCATTAAGGAAAGCACCGGAGAGGTGAGAAGAGAAGTCACGGGAAGTACAAGGCTCCAGTCCTGTCTGGCCCTTTGTGCACCTTGCCCCCCCACCTCTACCTACCCCTGTGTTACGAGCCAGTAAGCACGAGCTGACTGTTCTAACACACAGTTCTGTTACGCATTTGTGTTTCTGGCCACCGAGGCTATGCTTTTGTGGAGGGAGACTGGCACAGAAGAAAATTCAAATCTCTTTTGATTCCAGATCAGTTTTTCTTTCCCTTTGTATGTCAGAATATGATTATTTGTGAAAGGAGGGAAACGGGGGGTTGCAAGGCTAAAACCAGGCCTTAGAAGAGTGGTTGAGACAGGAACAAAATTCAGCATCTCTGCCCTTTTCCCTTAATACACGATCGGACAGCAATCTTAAATATTTCTTCTACTCCAATTCTTTCTCTTGGTATCAAGAATATTTCTCTTTTATTTATTTATTTATTTTATTTTAATTTTTTAAATTTATTTGAGAGGTAGAGTTACTGACAGTGAGAGGGAGAGACAGAGAGAAAGGTCTTCCATATGCTGGTTCACTCCCCAAATGGCTGCAACAGCCAGAGCTGGGCGGATCTGAAGCCAGGAGCCAGGTGCTTATTCCCTGTCTTCCATGTGGGTGCAGAGGCCCAAGGACTTGGGCCATCTTCTACTGCTTTCCCAGGCCATAGCAGAGAGCTGGGTTGGAAGTGGAGCAGCAGGGTCTCGAACCGGCGCCCATTTGGGATGCCGGCGCTTCAGGCCAGGGTGGTAACCCGCTGCGCCACAGTGCCGGCCCCTCCCTTTTTCATTTTCCGTATGTGTCTGTGAACTTTTAAGCTTTGAAAATTAAAAATAAATAAAAGAGGGGCCAGCACCGTGGCGCAGTAGGTTAATCCTCCGCCTGCGCCGCCGGCATCCCATATAGGCGCTGGTTCGAGACCTGGCTGCTCCACTTCCAATCCAGCTCTCTGTTATGGCCTGGGAAAGCAGCAGAAGATGGCACAAGTCCTTGGTTCCCTGCACCCACATGGGAGACCCGGAAGAAGCTCCTGGCTTCTGGCTCCTGGCTTTGGATCGGCACAGCTCTGGCTGTTGCGGCCAATTGGGGAGTGAACCATCAGATGGAAAACCTCTCTCTCTCTCTCTCTCTCTCTCCCTCTCTCTCTCTCTCTCTGCCTCTCCTCTCTCTGTGTAACTCTGACTTGCAAATAAATAAATCTTTTTTAAAAAAAAAAAGAAAAAGAAAAAGGGAAAAACTATTTAAGTGATCATACTAAATTAAGGGACAGTAACAGTGGCATGGAACCTTCTCATAGGTCTGTCATTTTTGTTTTCCACTTAGTTTCTGTGAACACTATTTATCTAAAGAAAAGGTAGTATTGGGAGCTGGCATTGTGGTGCAGTGGCTTCATCTGCTGCCAGGAATGCTGGCATCCCTTCTGAGTACCGGTTTGAGTCCTAGCTGCTGTATTTCTGATCCTATAGTCTGCTAATGCACCTGGGAAAGCAGTAGAAGATGGCCGAAGTACTCGGGTCCCTGCCACCCACGTCGGGGGCCAGGATGCAGTTCCAGGCTCCTGGCTTCAGCCTAGCCCAGCCTTGGCCATTGTGGCTACTTGGGGAGTGAACTAGAGGATGGAAGCTCTCGCTCTCGCTCTCTCTTGCGCATGTGCTTCCATCCACTGGTTTACTCTTTAAATGGCTGCAATGGCCAGGGCTGGGCCAGGCTGCAGCCAGGGTTGGAGAAAGACAGAGGGAGAGACAGACAAAGCCAGTGTCACAGGCAATGCCTTTAACCCACTGTCCCACAGTGTCAGCTCCATAAATACATCTCTGAAAAAAAAAATGAAAACACAGTATTGGCACATCTCTCCATTATGCTTTGTTGCAATTAATTTCCCGAGAGTTCTAATTAATCAGCCCCACAGTGACACTGAAGGTAAAAACAAATAATTGTACACTGACCAGGTTTGAAAGCCATGTAATTTCTGCTTTAGGAATTTCTGTAGGCATACTTCTATGTTACTTAAGCTCTGGTTACTTAGATAAGTATTTACTGTCAGTTCCTCCCTACACTGCCCACTCAGCCACCACCCATCTCTCCAAGCCTCAGTTTCTTTATCTGCACAGTGCCTCAGCCCTGTCTTGCCCATTCCAGTCTCTTGGCCCAAGCAAAAACACGCCTGGAAGCATTGAGCAAGCTTTCTGGCCACTTGTGAGGGGGTGTGAAAAACGCCTGCCATCCAGTGGCCAACATGTTCTTTGTCAGACATCCACCCTGTATGGGCAGACTCAGCAAAGTCCTTGATAGGAAGAGAAGGCGAGGAGGAGTCCGGCTCTGGGACAAAAGGAGAGGAAAACGAGGCCAGAATTCCAGCATACCAGCCGAGCAGAGCAGGATTAAGAGGCAGGTTCTGTTGTTAGTGGGTGACTCCAAGGGCCAAACGGGAGCACCTCTACAGTGGCACTTCGCACAGTACTGAGCATCACTGTGATCCCAAAGCCCTCACAGCCCTGGGGCTACTTGCTGGCCTAGACTCACACTTGAACTTGTAAAGTCACCTCCCCACCTCTGCTGGAAATTCCTCTAAATTTACTCCACTATCTCAAGTCACTTTCCCATCTCTACTGGAAATTCTGTCATGAGGGTATTAGTGACTGGTATCCCAGAACTGGAACAGGATTCTTGGTTTGGAACAAGAATATCAATGATCGCTTATTATGATGACAGTTAACTACTATTACTATTATCATTACAATTCAGTTAAATACAGTAGCAGAATAAGAAAAGCCAAAACTTTTGGAGTTGTCTTAAATGCAGACTATGCACAGTTCAGTGGAAAGAGAGATGTGTTCAAGTCTCGGCCGTGGCCCGACAAGTCCCCCCAAGTTCCAGGTTCCTCAGAGGCAAAGTGGACTGGCCCTCTAAGAGAAGGTGTGTGCTGGTGTTCAGCATAGTTGCTGACTCTTAGGAGTGTTGAAATTTCCCTAGGCTTTGGAATTAGGCTGATGGGATCTTGATCTCATTTCCTTCACCTTCTGATTGTCAGACTGTAGGCAAGTTAGTCTTTCTGAAATGAAGACAGGGGTCGTTGTTGGGAGACAGTGAGTTAAGCCACTACTTGGGATGCCTGCATTCCATAGCAGAGTGTCTGGGCTTGAGTCCTGCTGCTTCTCATTCACCTTCCCACTAATGTGCCTGGGAGGCAGCAGATGCTGGCCCAAGTACTTGGGTCCCTACCACCTGTATAGGGATCCTGGATGGAGTTCCTGGCTTCAGTTTGGCCCCAGCTGTTGTGATCATTTGGAAACAGAACTAGTGGATGGAAGATCTGTCTTTGTCTCTCCACCTTGCAAACAAATTTTAAAAAGTGAATACACATTTAGAAAACTAAAATGAACACCGGATTATATGACGGTACTTCAAAGTTTCTGGAACATTAAAATATATTTATTTTGGTGCAAAACTTTCATAATTCATGCATAGTTTTATCATAATATCCATTTCCACGAAATTTCTTAAGAGCCCTCAAACATTATAGTGTTTGAGTTAAATGAAATAATGCACACAAAATGTTTAAGATCACACTTGATACCAAGTGCTCAATAAGGGTAGCTTTTATTAGTAGTAATGTGCTTTTAATATAGAAACTCAGTTCTCAAAAGGACAGAGATTTTTTTAAAAATTTATTAATTTTATTTGAAAGATAGAGAGACAGAGATCTCCCATCCACTGGTTCCCTTTCCAAAAGCCTACAACAGCCAGGGCTGTGCTAGGCTGAAGCCAGGAGCCAGGAACTCAGTTCAGGTCTCACACAGGGGTGGCAAGGACCCAAGTACTTGAGCCTCCCAGGGTGTACAATAGCAAGCAGCTAGAATCAGGCACAGAGCTGGGATTTGAACCCATACATGCTAATATGGGATGCCGATGTCCCACGTGGCAGCTTAACTGCTGCAACAAATGCCTACCCCAGGACAGGGATTTTCAATAATAGTTGCTGGATGTTAATGGTTAAGAATAGCCACTCAACAAGAGGTGTTCCAGGCTATGGGGGAGGGCACCTTTTGGATGGTGCTGTCAGCTGCCTTGGGCCTAGGATCACCTATGGAGCCTTGTTAAACTACAGATATTGATTTGGGGGGAAGAGGGTCAGCGGTGGGGCCTGAGAATCTGCATTCCTATCAAGCCACAGTGGCTACTGCTGTAGGGCTGCAGATCATGCTGTGAGTAGCAATGCTTCAAAATATTCTCTAGGCCAGTGCCGTGGCTCACTAGGCTAATCCTCCACCTGCAGTGCCGGCACACCGGGTTCTAGTCCCAGTTGGGGTGCCAGATTCTGTCCCGGTTACTCCTCTTCCAGCCCAGCTCTCTGCTGTGGCCTGGGAAAGCAATGGAGGATGGCCCAAGTGCTTGTGCCCTGCACCCGCATGGGAGACCAGGAAAAGCACCTGGCTCCTGGCTTTGGATCGGCGCAGCGTGCAGGCCGCAATGCGCTGGCTGTAGCGGCCACTTGAGGGGTGAACCAACAGAAAAAGGAAGACCTTTCTCTCTTTCTCTCTCTCACTGTCTAACTCTGCCTGTCAAAAAAAAAAAAAATTCTCTGGTGGACCAACAATATTGACAACATCTGTAAATAAGCATCACTCAGAAAATATATCATTAGTGTATGCAACTGAAACAAGATCTCCTTTTTATTTAATCTTTTTTGCCATTTGCTTTTAAGAAATATTGTAAACAATTTTCAACAGATACATAAACTTGTACGTATTGATGAGGTACCACATGATGTTTTAATACATGTATACGTTATGTAATGTTCAACCAGGGTAAATATATTTATCTCCTCAAACATATAACATTTCTTCATGGTAAAAGCTTTCAAAATTCTTTCTTTGAGCTCTTTATAAAATATATACTACACTACAGGCACCCTACTGTGCAACAGAACATCAGAACTTCCTGTTCCTGTCCAATTATCACACAGCACCTCTTAAATAACCTTCTCCCTTTCCTGCTCACCCCTACTAGTCACAGACTCTGGTAACCACCAGTTTACTTTCAACTTTTGTGAGATCAACCTTTCTAGATTCCACATATGTGTAAAATCATGGAGTACTTGTCTTTCTGTGCTGGGCTGATCAAGCTTTCTTTTTTTTACCCATGGCTCTCCAGTTGTTCTAGCACCACCTGAACTGTCTTGGCACTGCTGATGAAAATCAATTGATAACCTACGTGTGGTTCTAAATTCTCTGTTCTCTGCTCTCGATCTATACGCCCTCACTGTCGTGATTACTGTGGCTTTGTGACACTTGAAATCGGGTAGCATCCATCCTCCAACTTTATTATTCTCCCCTAAAATGGCTGAGGCTATTCTATGGCCCTTCACTCGTTTTAGCTTTTTTTTTTTTTTTTTTTTTTTTTTTTTTTAATGACTAAATGAGGAATGCAGTTGGCAAATGATATGAAAATGGAGCTGTGGAAATCTGAAGGACAGAAAAGATGGAACACTAACAAAAAGATCTGTGGAGTTCTTCCTCATTTATAAGTGAACTTAGATTAAACATCTGAATGGACTGAAACTGACTCATTCATTCCATATTAAGAAATAAGTAAACTCAGAAAAGTTGGATCAGTTTGCTCAAGACACAATACCTTTGTTCAAGGAGCAGAAGCACTGAGGAAGTTTAGAGTGAGAAAAGTTCCACTTTTACAAGTCTTCTATCAACCATGAACCCAAGTGTTATTAGAGTTTGTTTTGAAGCTGAACCAAAGGGAAAATGGAACCCTAAGCTCTCTTCAAGTTTGGAATGCTCTGATCATTAAAAACCCATCATAATCTTCATTGAAACACTCAAGCCGAACAGTAATACGCTCACATTTTTATGTTAAGAACAAAGTTTTCCTTGTGTATAAATCTTCATGGGAAAAAATCTAAGCATATCTAGCAAGCATTACAGTGACTACCTCAGGACAGGGAAAGCTGCAGCACAGAAAAGCATAAGGCATATTTTCTTTTTATATCTCTGGGCTATTTTTCTATTTTCAAGCTGCTTCATAATTTCAACAAAACTTTGTTATCATATAGCATTTCAATGAGTTTTAATATATGAGAGGTCTTTGAAAAGTTCATGGAAGATACATATTATCTTTTCTTTTTAAGATTTATTTGGGCTGGCATTGTGGTACAGGGGGTTAAGCTGCCATTCGCAATACCAGCATCCCATATTGGAGAGCTGGTTCAAGTCCTGGCTGGTGTTTTGTTTTGTTTTGTTTTTCTTAAGGCTGCTTTGCTTATGACCCAACTTCCTGATCATGCGCCTAGGAAGGCAACAGAGGATGGCTCAAGTGCTTGGGCCCTGCCCTCCATGTGAGAGACCTGGATGGAGTTACTTCCTGGATCCTGGTTTCAGCCTGGCCCAGCCATGGCTGTTGCAAGCATTTGAGAAATGAACCAGCAGATTGGTAGATCTCTTTCTCTCTCTCTTTCTAGTCTCGGAGAGATGGACAGCAAGAGATCTTCTATCCATTGGTTCACTCCCCAAATGCCCGCAACAGCCATGACTGGCCGTGGCTGAAGCCAGGAGCTTGGAACTCCAACCTGGTCTTCCACAAGGATGGCAGGAACACGTACTTGGACCATCATCTGCAGCTGGAAGCTGGATTAGAAATGGAGGTGGGACTCGCTCCCACACACTCCGATATAGGAGGTGGGCATCCCAAATGGTAGCTTACACAGTTTGCCACAACACCTACCCCACACATTATCTTTTAATTCTATTTTTCCGTGAGCTTTTTGAAGTACCCTTATGCACAATGATTTCCAGCCACTGCCTCTAAGGTTCTCGCCGGCTTACGCATGGGCACAGAAGGGTTGGCTCCTGGAGAGTTTCAGTCCCTGGAAAAACCTCATTACACAACCTCAAAAAAGAAATAACTGATGATGTTCTGTAGGGACAACTGTAAGCTTATCTTATAGACAAATATGACATGAATGTATTTGTCAGGTGTAGGATAAACATATAATTTCACATCTGAAGCCAATCTATGTAAATGAACACACAATGTTTTTGAAACACCATGGTCCATAATGAAAACATGTTGTCCTTGTGATACATTTCTGAAGCAGGGTTAAATTTTCTCTGCCATTGGCCGAGTATGCAGAGAACAGCAGTCCGTTCTTTTTCTAATACTCTTCAAAGTCAAGTGCTGCAAATGCTGGACCTGCCTAGAAGCTACCAGGCTGGGTGGTCTTCTCTCCCAAATACATGCTACAACTCATGGCTTCAGATGAGCCGCACTTTTGTGTAAATATTTCCAGCAAGAGATCTTTCTGTGGTTACAAGAAAATAACTTTTGATGTATGATTCATAAAAGGCTAAATATGAGAATGTCCACCTTTTTAAACTCAATTACAGTCCGGAATAAGGCTCAAAGGCGTTAAACCTCTGCTGTAGATTCTTGCTATTAAAAGTGTGGCTCATGGACCAGTAGCAGCAGCAGCGGTGGTGGAGGTGACAGCATTTTAACAAGATCCCCAGGTGACTGCTATGCCATACACACAATTATGGTGAATATTCATGAAACCTGGAGGCATGACAAGAACTCATGTAAAAAGAGATAAAGATTCGAAAAGTTCATTTCAATAGCGCAGTCTGGCAAGTTTTTTTTCTAAATATTCTACCAGAATCACAAAAACAATGAAGTTCCAATAAAACAAATTAAATTGCATCAAATGTTCTACATAATTTAAAAGCCCTACCGACCACTAGGCCACTTTAGTTCATGATTAACAAACCAAAAATTTTATACAAAGAAAACTGATGGATATTTTTCTAGAGCCTTACATAAGTTATTCATTCCAAATGTTTTTTTTTAGCTAACAAATGGAGACGCTTTGAAACACAGTGCTTAAAAAAGCACTACCTGCCTAGTGAGCTATTTAACTGTGAAATAACTTGCTCTGTATACTTGAATGGAATTCGGATACTACCCACATGTGAAGGAGCTACATTAACATAAAATGTACATCATGAAACGTCACCTCACTGCATGGCTTTAGCATATTTTTCCCACTAAAATACTTGCATCCGTGGCCTTCAGTATGATGAAAAATCTTAAACACGATGAAAGGTGGAAATGTTTCACCACTAAATCTGAAATAAAGACCAAAAATGATGCATTAGGCATGAGGTTTTGAGCCCAGTTTTTCTCCCCCTTTGTGCTTAAAACAGTTCATATAGTTTCTGGCATACAGGGTGAAGGCTCAGCCAAGAGCATATCAAGAACTGGCAATGAGGGGCCAGCGCTGAAGTGCAGTGGTTAAGCTCCCACATGCAACACCAACATCTCATATCGGAGTGCCAGTTTGGGTTCCAGTCCTGGCTGCTCTGCTTCTGATCTAGCTTCCTGCTAATGTGCTTGAAAAGCAGTGGAAAATGACCTAAGTACTTGGGCCTTTGCCACCCACATGGGAGACCCAGATGAAACTCCTAGCTCCTGGTTCCAGCTTGGCCTGTCTCTGGCTCTTGCAGGTGTTTGGGGAGTGAACCAGCAGATCGAAGATCTCTCTCTCTCTCGCTCTCTCTCTTGTGTGTGTGTCTGTGTGTGTGTGTGTCTCCCTCTCCCTCTGTCACTCTGCCTTAAAAATAAATAAATAAATAAATGAATAAATAAATAAATAAAAAATTTTAAAAAAACTGGCAATGAAATGAGTCACAGAGAACAAAAGGCCCATACTTTGGGGTGCTCACAACTATTCTCATAGCTCTGTCAGACTGGCCACAGCATGGGAGATGAGAGCTACTCTCATGGCAACTTTTTAAAAAAGATTTATTTTATTTATTTAAAAGATAGAGTTAGAGAGAGAGAGAGGGAGAAACAGAGAAAGAGGTCTTCCATTCACTAGTTCACTCCCTAAATGGCTGCCAACAGCCAGGCAGGGCCAGGCCAAAGCCACGAATCAGCAGCCTCATCAGGGTCTCCCTCGTGGGTGGCAGGGGCCCAAACATTTGGGCCATTTTCTGCTGCTTTCCAAGGCCATTAGCAGGGAGCTGAACTGGAAGTGGAGCAGCCAGGACTCAAACTGTCACCCATATGGGATGCCGGCGTTGCAGGCAGCGGCTTTACCCACTATGCCACAATGCAGGCCCCTCATGGCAACTTTTAGCCAGAGCCATGCTTTAGCTTCTTGTAGCACATGTAAATAAAGACCACACATTTACTTTGTAATTATATCCTGTGATATTATGAAAATTTCAAAAAATAAATGTCTAAGATTTCTTCATACTAGCTAAGTCCTTCCTGAGATAAATCAGCACAGATACCTTACCTGAATCTGACTTTACACTTCATGGTAGGATCTTTAACAAGTTCAGCCTCTGAGGGGCTCACTTTCTTCAGTATTTCATGTGTCACACGATATTCCTGAAACACAGGATGGGAGTGTAAACGGAACGGGAGACCTGCCCAGGTGCAACTTGTTGGCAGCAGCGGTACAGCGGATGGTACACTCGGCTAGAAGCTGCTTCTCCTCTTGGCTTTCTACTTAGCATCTTTGCAGCCTTCAGCTGGTTACTTAACCTTTTTGGTGTCTGAGTTTGAGAATCTGTCCCTTGCAGAGGTGGCAGGCACTCTTCTTTCCCTGTGATGATGCTTTCTACAGTGGGCAGCAGTTTTCTAGAAATATCCCTGGCCACTACTAGACTGCAAGCTTCATGGAGTAGGGACAGCATCCTTCTCCTTTACCACTATATTCCTGGCATCTAGTGTGGTACCTGAGACACAGCACATGCTTGACAAGTATGTCACGTTGAATGAACTACTCTAACATAGGAATGATAGCCAGGGCTTTTAACCACCTTTAGGTGCTGCATACTGTGTTAGGTGCCTTGAATAATAATCTCGCCCCTTACAACAGCACTATTATTAGAATATTGTCATTCACATTTTACATATAAGAAGACTGAAACTCACGGAGTTTTTGTAACTTATACAAAGGCATACAGGTAGTAAGTAGGGAAACCAGGATTCAAACTTGGATCTGTTTGACCCTAATGCTCCTACTTTTTCCCCCAAATGACCTCACTGCACCTTTATACCTAAGCTAACCATACAAAAATGTGATTAAAGAGCTTTAACAATACAAAGCATTATTAATGTAAGGTGTTAACTTGACCCTTTAGGATAATAGATGAGAAAAGAATTAATTTCTTTCCACTACTATGAGTTAAAATTACAAGAAAAGTATTATAATAATTAAATACATGTTCCATATATGAAGATAATGGACGATGGTCTAAAATGTCAAGGGTTTAGCTTGGGAGTGGGTCACTCTGAGGCAGTCTGCTCTTACTGACGTCAGAAATGGGTCTGTGGGTCAGATGGTGAAGAAGTGTATACATTGCTCAGTCATTATGATTTTTCAGAGCTGCTAAATTCCTTAATGTGGCGCTCTCTAGTAATAGGCTACTGACATTATGGGTTATTGTATTAGGAGAACATTTGGTACTATAACAAGGAAATCTTAATGCTCCTCTGGGATTGCCAGGATCATTCTAGGGGCAGAGAGAGAATGTATATCTGTTATGGTACTTGTTTTTTACTCAAATAGTATATTCTGCACACTGTTCTGTACTTGCCTTTTTACAAACAAGCTACCTTGGATAATATGGCAAGGTTTAACACTATGAACACTTATTTAACTAGCATCCTATCAATGGACATTGTATTGTTTATTTTCTTTGCTGTCACAAACAATGTGCAAGGAAACTGCACATATATTACAGAATGGATTGAAATTGCTTGGTAAGAGGTAAGGGCACTTGTATTTTTTTAAAGATTTATTTTATTTATTTATTTAAAAAGGAGAGAGAGCGAGAGAGCATGCTTCCATCTACTGGTTCACTCTCCAAATAGCTACAACATCCAGGCTGGGCCAGCCAGGTCTCCCACATGGGTGACAGGGGTCCAAACACTTGGGCCATCTTCCACTGCTTTTCCCAGGTGCATCAGCAGGAAGCTGGATCAGAAGTGGAGTAGCTGGAACTTGAGCTGGTGCTGATAGGGGATGCTGGCAATGTAAGCAGTGGCTTAACCCGCTGCACCACAATGCTGGTGTAGGGGCACTTTTAATCCAGAGATTTTTATGTTGGGAGCTTTGTGTCCCTGTCCCATAACTTCAAATAAGGAATACAATTCAAAATAACCTCAGCAGTGTATTAACTTCAGTCAAGGAAATAACAGTCATTCACATTACAGGCAGGGTTAACATGCTACTTTTGACATCTACATGACATATTGGAGTGCCTGGGTTTGAGTCCCAGCTTTGTTTTCGATTCCAGCTTCCTGATGATGCGCACTCTGGAAGGCAGCAAGTGATGGCTCAGGTACTTGGCTCTCTGCCACCCACGTGGAAGACCCAGATGGGGTTTCCAGCTCTTGGCTTCCGTCTGGCCCAGCCTCAGCTGTTGTGGGCATTTGAGGAGTAAGTCTTCAGATGGGAAATCTCTGTCTCTTTCTTTCTACATTTCGAATAAATAATATAAATAAATAAAAATAAAAACCAGTCATCTACATTAAAAATGAATCCAGAAATACCCCTTCAATCCAGTAATAAAGTATTACAATACAATATTATTAGATCCAAACAGAAGAGATAAAGGTTATGTATCCTGAATTAAAAGATCTCTTAGCTTGATAAGTAATTAAATCTGTGGGAGAAAACAAAAAGCAAAATTCATACCACTGCACAAATTGTATGCTTTAGGAGTCGAAACATCATTTTGTCCAAGTAAGCTAGCCAAGCTCTCTGTATTATCCGAACTGAAGTCTCTGTATTAAACCTGAGAGGAAGAAAAGAGGTTAATATTTATGAAGTGTTTTAATTTTCCTAAAATCTTGGAGAATTCTCAATTTATACATCCTCTTCTTGTACCACCCTGTCCCCCATGCTAAGGCTGACCTAATGAGGAACATTTGGATGTGGTAATTGGAACTGGTCATTTACAACATCTAGTCAGAATGAGGATATGGAATATTCCCCTTGAGATTAAAAAAAATGTATTGGCTAAAGCTTTATCATCAAGAGGCATATATATTTTAAATTAATTATTAAGAGGCATGGATATCACAAATAAAAGTGTGAGGAGACAAATTTCTTTTTAAAATGTCTTTGACCTAAAAGGATTCCGTTACAGTTCTTAAAAACACTGTCCAACTAGTTCAAGTGCAATGAACATGGAATGCGGAATAGTCTGAGTTACAGGAGGCCCAGTTCTCTTCTGGGGGCTGATGACTATGCTCCAGAAAAAGAACCTCCCCTCTCCGTATCTTTGCTTGGCCCAGGCTCATCCCGGACAGCTCAGAGAATTATTCCACTTTTGATCCTGCCCCAGCACTGAGAGGTTGTTGGTCTCCCCCTCCAACACCCTCTTGCCCCATCATTGTTCTCAGTGCCACGTGCAAGGAGAGGTACTTCTGCCTAATGTCATTCCTGCATAACGTCACCTTTGGCATTCCTCCCCACCTTCATCTCTACAAGATGCACAGACGTAGAGAAGAAAAGGCCTGAAGTGTAGGAGCAAACCTTTGGATCTTGCCTGATGACATTTATTAGCTGTTTTAACCTGTGAGTCACTTACCTTCTCCCAGTTGCTTCCTCATTTATAAAATGTGGTAATGCTCAGAGGACTATTTCACAAGGTAGTATCAGATCAAATAGATGTGTGTTAACAAGCTCTGTAAATTACAGAACGCTACATTTACAATAATTAGAATTTGATTTGAAAGTAATTTTAAAACACCAAAAGCCCCTAATTTACACATGAAGTATTTAAAGTCACCAGGGTAGATACCTCTTGGAAACTGTCCAGTTCTGAAAAATGACACAAGGTAAAAAATAGGTACTTACGGTAGAAATATCCTTGTCTCTGTAGTATCAGCGAAATGTACTTTGCCTGGGTGCCGCTTCTCTGATTTGGGTACAGTGGTCCCGGAAGTGTTTGAGGAATCATCCATTTTCTTTATGGTGAAGTAATCTGGAAGTACATAAATTAAGCTTTTGAGGTCATCATTTAATTATGCTGTTTGGACTAGACTGGAATGCCATACGATGGTTGTGCTAATTCCAGAAACCTTTCAAAAGGGAAGGCATTGTGCATCTCTTAATGTTGCTTACAGTTAACATTCTTTGCATACCAAATATATTATTGGTGGTATATGGCAAAGACAAATGGATCTATCCAGTGCCTTCTAACTGGTCTGTTTCCAGTCTCTCCCTCCTCCTAGTCATCTTTCCACAACAGCTGGAGTTAACATTTTAGAGCAATCATTCAGTCTTATGACTGCCCTACATTCACCACGACAAGCTTCCTGAAGGCAGGAGGCGTCTGGCTAACTAGGGAATCAATCAGCAAGGCCCTGCAGAGCAGAGGGCTGGTTTCTACATGCTAGTCTGCCAATTTTTCATGCTGCTTTTGTCATTAAACAGCCATGAGACTTTGGGCAAGTCGCTTATCCTCTTGATGGTTGTTTCCTCCTTGGTAAAGTGAGAGAGTGGGTACTAAATTATTGGATTTCACCTTCGATTCTCTGGTCTTTGAAGCATTACTACAATCTAGGTGCAGCTCTGAATTCTTAAGTCACTGTTTAGTGTTTTCTACTAAACCAGGGCTCTTTATCTTCTCTTTTGGGACCATGGACTCCTATGGACAGATCCATTTGGTAATTATGTTTTAAAAATGCCTAACATAAAATACCTAGGATTACGAAGGGCTCCCCATCATACTGAAATTGTCAAAATATTTTTAAAAAACATTATAGTAGTATGTGTCTTGTTAATGCATCAAAAATGAGACCTAATAACTAGCGTAGTTTTCAAGTAGTATAATGAACACAAATGAGATGTCGGCTCTGCCTGTAATATGAAAATACTTATGCATTGTATTGATGCCTGCACGATTACTAAAGTTCAGTTGCAGGTTACTGACAATGAGGTTGTTTCTCCCCCAGTCAAGTTCACATAGTCCTGAATCAAGAACTCCTGCCCTAACTTAGCACCATGCTTCACCCTTCTGTGTATGTGTGGAGTTACATTACTAATGCAGAGCCATCAGTCCCGTCAGTACTTCTCAGGGATGCGGATGGCTTTACAGCTGGGAGCTGGCCTGGCACTCACAGCTGGGCCTTGGTGTTAACACCAATCAGAACAAAGCCCTGCTTCCTTGAACTACCCCCAAACCACCCACAGCCCAAATGCTATGATAAATCTTCCTAACACTCTCTTACTGAAATGCCCCACTGTTTTTCCAGATGTGCATTTTCCTCGCAGCAATGAGAAACTTACTTCTTCAACCAGAGCTGTGTTCCTTAGGGGTCTTCTGCAGGAGGACAGAGATATGCCACTGCACAAATCTGCAAATTCTCCCCACGCCTGCCTGGCTGTGGTTTCAACTTTCTGTTGGCTTAAGACAGAAACAAAATGAAATATGTAAAACATCCTCATCATGTGACAGTGCAACACCGTAGGCTACAGCACAGGCTTCAAAGGCAGACTTCCAGGGTTTGGATCCTGGCTTCCCACTTTCTGTCTGTGTAACTTTGCACAAATGACTTAACAGCTCTGTGCCTCAGTTTTTTCATCTGTAGATTGGGAGTAATAACTGTGTCCACCTACTTGGGTTGTGTGAAAGAATAGCTGGATGTATGTAAGGAGCTGAAATCAAAGATGTGCACATAACAAGTGCGGTATCAGTGCTTGCTATTCTTTTAAGATAATTATTGTGATGATTTCTTACTTCGGAAACATTAAGGAACATTTAACTTCCAGTGAAGGGCTTATGCTTAAGTATTTATTTTTATTTTTTAGAAGAGTTTTATTTAAGAAATATAAATTTCAAAAGTACAACTGTTGGATTATAGCTGTTTTTCCCCCTAAACCTCCTTCCCACCCGCAAACCATCCCAGCTCCTACTCCCTCTCCCATCCCCTTCTTCATTAAGATTCATTTTTAATTATCTTTATATACAGATCAACTTAGTATATACTAGGTAAAGATTTCAACAGATTGCACCCACACAGACATACAAAGTGTAAAGTACTGTTTGAGTAGTAGTTTTACTGTTAATTCTCATAGTACAACACATTAAGGACAGAGCTCCTACATGGGGAGTAAGTGCACAGTGACTCCTGTTGTTGATTCAACAATTGACTCTCTTGTTTATGGCATCAGTAATCACCTGAGGGTTTTGTCACTGGCCTTATTTATGTGATCCCTTTGACACTTAATCCTATATGATCAATTATGAATTTAAACTGATCACTTTAACTAGTAAGATGGCATTGGTACACGTCACCTTGATGGGATTTGGAGTCCCATGGCACGTTTCTAGCTCTACCATTAGGGATAAGTCCGAGTGAGCATGTGCTGAACTGTACATCTCCTCCCTCTCTTATTCCCACTCTTATATTTAACAGGGATCACTTTTCAGTTAATTTTACACGCCTAAAGCAATTGTGTGTTAATTAAAGAGTCCAACCAATGGTATTAAATAGAAAAAGAAAATACTGCAAATAAAATAGTAATGCTTAAGTATTTTAAAGAGAGAAAAAAGCATCCTTGGCGACTAAACTTAAAGCCTGATAAATGTCTAGCTCCTGGTAAAGACCTAAAAAACAGGCAGCATTGTGACTGCCACGTGGGTGCTGGTTCCAGTCCTGAGGGCTCCATTTCCAATCTGGATCCCAGCTGGTGGCCTGGAAAAGCAGAAGATGGCCCAAGTGTTCGGGCCCCTGCACCTGCGTGGGAGACTCAGCTGAAGCCCCTGGCTCTGGCCTGGGCCATTTCTGGCCTTTGCGGCCATCTGGGTAGAGAACCAGCTGATGGAAGACCTCTCTCTCTCTCTCTCTCTCTCTCTCTCTCTCTCTCTCTCTATCTCTGTAACTCTTTCAAAATAAATAAGTAGATCTTAAAAAACAAAACAAACCCTAAAAACCTTTGAGAGGTAAATCCAGGGCTCCTATCGGCGGCTTCTGGCTGCGAGACTCTGGAAGAAGCTTGAGGCCCGCTGAGCGCCCCCAGCCGGAGGCCTCTGAGGACGGGACTCCCAGCCCACACCTCCGGGCGCCCAATCCTGGAGGCGAAGGCTGACTCCCAGCGCCCAGCGGCGCCCGGCGCCTCCCTCCTCGCGCCTCCCTCCCGGCGCTTCCTCGTGCCGCCCACACTGAGCCGGGGCTTTCTTGCCGCCTAGCAACCACCGGCGCAGGGGCGGAGCGTCACGGAGGGCGGGGCTTGCGTCCGCCCGCCGTCCGGGGCGCTACGCGCTGCCGCTCAGTGACGTCGCTTCCAGTCCAGGGTGGTTGAGCTAAACTTTCGCCTCATCGAGTTGACTATACGTTCGTCACCCGCGCCGCGGCACGCCTGCGGTTGGGTGAAACAAGGCCCTATCGGGCCTCCGTAGTCGGCTTTTTGTGGTAGGCGGGGCCGAGGCCGGGGTGACCCTGCCGGAACCGCCGCTGCCAGCAACATGTTCAAGGTGAGAGCATGGAGTCGGGTCACAGTTGTCATCGCCCCCTCCCGGCCACCGGGAGCCCTCCCCGCGCTCTCGTGGGCCTTTCCGGGGACCGGGCACGGTCCGCCCCAAGGCTTTTCCCGCCTGCAGGCAGGCTGCGTTCCGGCCCCGCGGTCCATTCACTGGTCATCTTGGGGCGAGTGGCTGCCGGGCGGAGGCGTGAGACTCGGGGGCGGGTCGCGACGGCCCTTTTGGGTCGTGCTTCCGTGAATAAAACACTTTGAAAAGTTACGACACTCTCCGCAAAGCACCCACCCCTTCGGCTGGTGCCTTCTCGGGATCGTGGGCAGGGTGAGGCTAGTTCCTGGCGACGTGGGGTTTGCTACTCTGGTTGCCGGGCAGCATCAGATTTCAAGAACCTGGTATGTGGGTGGGGGAGGGTCGCCCTCGGAGTGGCCGCTGCAGGAAGCGGGAGGCTAGTGTGGGAATGGCTGGCTGGGGAGGGAAGCTCCACATCCCAGTGACCATTATCCGTGTTTAAATGGACGTGTTGACTTTCTTAGGATCTATGTGCTTGTGGCCTTTAATAAAAGGACTTTTACAGACAATGAAGACTTTATTTCCAAAAATCCGTATTGTAGCATTAAGCCATTTTTTAAAAATTATTTTTGCAGTCACAAAAAACAAGTCATAGGCTATCAGAAATTAATCTACGAAACTGAGCGTTCAAGAGGCATCATACCCGTAAAGTAGTGCTAATGACATCTTAGAACTGTGCTGCTCGCTTAAGCTTTATTGAGCTCTTGTATGCTTTCAGCACATTAATAAAGACCATAAAATCAGAACATCGGTTCTGCCTGCTAGCCTTGGCCTTGGCCCGTCCTGCTGTGTGACCTTGGACAAGGCATTTAACCTCTCTGCCTGTTTTCCTGTTGGTGACAATCGGGATGATAGCATCTGCCTCATAGGTAGTCGTAGGAGGAAGTAGTTGTGCGTAAGACGCTTGAGAGAGGTCTTGGCATGTAGACATGCCTCTGGTTTGTTTTCGGCGAGCTCACGGTTTAGTCAGCAGGACGAATCCCATAAGCAACTTCCATTCATTTGACAAGTTGAGGTTAAACACCTATTATGTGCTAGCAGCTCAGCTTGGCTTTAGGCTTACGATGAAGCCTATGCTGTGACCAGTTCAGCTGCATGGGTACCAGCTATATACTGTGGTCGTAAAAAAGGGGAGCAGGATCTTTTTGGCTTAGCCAGGAGTTTCTAACCTGGGGTCCTCAGTCCTTCAAAGGGTCTGTATATAGGGGGGCCCCTGGATTCTGATGGGGGAAAAACTTATTTTCACCCCATCTTCAATGAAACCAAGTGTTTCCTTCAGTTGTGAATACCTATTACCTATTACTGGGTAACAAACCACTGCAAAGCAGTACCCTAAAACAATGATTTATTATTTCTCAGTCTGGGCTGGTTGAGCAGTTCTGGCATCTTCCAGGGGCTGAATTGAGCAGGGGGCTTGACTGGAAGGTACTCTCTCTCCCGTGTTTGGAGGCTTGGTGTCCCTCCCTTGTGTCTTCCTCATATGGTTACGGGCCAGTCCTAATGTACAAACACCTGCATCATTTGCTGATGTTAAAACAAGCTGCATAGCCAAGTTCAGAGTTGATACGGTAGTGGACTGTACAAGGGCATGGTTAAAAGCAGGTGTGGCTCATTGGGGGCTTATTAATTTAACAAGCCTTACAGCAGCAAACCACAATAGTATTAGTGCCTGTTACTAACAGAGGTCACAGTACTCAGGCCCGCATTTTGGCGCAGTGGGTTAAGTTGCTACCTGTGACACCAGCAAGTGCTGGCTCGAGTCCAAGCTGCTCCACTTCTGAACCAGCTCTCTGCTAATGTGTTGTGGCCTGGCTCAGCTCAGGCTGTTGAAGCCATATGGGGAGTGAACCAGCAGATAAGACAGTCTGTCTCTGTTTCTCTTAAACTCTGCCTTTGAAGTAAATATTTTTTAAAAAGTCACAATACCAGTGCAAGTCAGAGACATTTTTATATCATATTACTGTTGTTGCAGATCTCAAAATATCATTTATGCTCATCACTACAAAATTAGAGTGCTTGTAAGATTCACTGTTAACATCTTTTTAATGAGTTAGTGAAGTACATATTACTACATCAAAAAAATTTTTTTAGAGATATATTTACTTCGTTGAAAGAGTTACAGAGAGAAGGAGAGAGAGAGAGAGAGAGAGAGAGAGAGAGATCGATCTTCCATCTGCTAGTTCACTCCCTAAGTGGCTGCAGTGGCCAGTGTGGAGCCTGGCCGAAGCCAGGAGCTTTATCTCGGTCTCCCGTGTGGGTGCACAGGCCCAAGCATTTGGGGCATCTGCAGCTTTCCAAGGTCATTAGCAGGGAGCTGGATCAGAAGTGGAGCAGCCGGTACACAAACCAGTGCCCAAAGGGGATGCCGGTGTTGCATGTGGTGGGTTTAGCTGCTGTGCCACAATGCTGGCCTTGTACACCAGAAATTCGAATTTTGAAAATATGTTTATTTGTAAAGGGGAGGCAGAGAATGAATGTGAGAATATCTTTCATCTGCTGGTTCATCCCTCAAATGCCCACAGTGGTAGAGACTGCTTCAGGCCGATGCCAGGAGCCCAGAGCTCTTTCTGGGTTTCTCACAAGGGTGGCAGGGGTTCAAGGCCTTGGGCCATCTTTTGCTTTCCCAGGTGCATTAGCAGGGAGCTGGATTGGAAGTGGAGCAGCTGGGACTCGAACCCATTCTCCAATGTGGGATGGTATTGCAGGCAGTAGCTTAGCGTGAAGCACCACAGCGCTCTCCCCGTAAAAATATTCTTACAGTTATTTCAATGTAATTGGTGGTATTTTTATGCAGTAGGAAGCGTTCTTTGGGAAGAGGTCCATACCATAAAGACATACCCCCCTCCCCCGACTTTGAGTGGAAAACCTTGGAGGGCACCAAAATACAGAGTAGACTGAGGAGAGGGGAGAGAGCAGAGATGGAGAAGCAGTGTTTGGAAAGTAGAAGAAGGAGCAGAGCAGCATGGTATTTAGGAAATCGAGGGTGGATGGGCTATGCTAGGAGGCTTTCAGCTGGGCTAAGGCAGCTGCTTACATAGTAGGGAGCACCATCTCACAAAGTGCAGAGGAAAGTTGGCTCCTGGTTCTTTGATTCAGTGGGTCAGCAGTGTCACCTAGGACACTGGATCTTGGCTTCCCACAGTAGGGTTGGTTTCCTTTAAAGTTGCAAGACGACTGCAAGAAAAATACACACTTTCTCAGTCACAGGAGCAAGAGGAGAGAGGAGAAAATGCCCACTCTTGTAGGATTTCCTTCCTGCAGTCTTACTCTTACTGGACCAAACTTACCTGACCCGGTAGTGATTGCCAGGGGAATGCTGTGCTGAGACTGGGACTAAACTGGACCAACTTGGGGTAGGGGTCACTTTACCTTGACCTTTTCCTCACTTGGGAGAAGAATGAATTTTTGAACAGGATGGGGTTTTTATTAACAAAGAAGAGGGATAATTGAGACTGGATGTGCAACCAGTGGTGCCCAGTATTGGGGGGGGCGGTGCAGAAGTAGCTGCATTTGGAGACGTGTTCATTGGTTTGAGCACCTTGGGGAGCTTGTGCAGCTTGGTGATGCAAGTGGAAACTGGATTCGCGTGGTTGGTGACTCAGAGATGGGTACATAGCCTGGCTGTCAAGAGAAGGAGAGCGTGGTAATTAGCAGGAAATACTGGATGAAGATTCTAGAGTTTGTGGTGGTTACAGTGTGTGTGTGGTCAAGGGAATCCCTCAGCTTTTAAATGGGGGAAAGATATGCCTCTTGTGAGATGGGAGGAAAAGAAGGGTGTGTGAGTGACTGTAGACCGGCGGATCTCATCTTGGATGTTACCACTCCTTTTGTCTTCAGTCTGGTTGTGTTGAACATTTGTATACTGAAATACAGTTCTTGTAAATCGTTCCTTTTGCTCGCCTTTATTTTACCGTAGAATCATTATGCTGATCTCTGTCTTTTGGGTTGGGGGGACTAGTGTGTAGATTGGTGATGAATCTCACTTGTGCATAACAGAAAAGTGCCACAAAATAGTTTTCCTAAAATGGTGGGGGCTGCTGCTTACGGCACCTGTATCTCCTTTTGGAATGCCAATTTGAGTCCCAGCTTCTTGGCTTCCCATCCAGCTTCCTGCTAACATGTCTGGGAAGGCAGTGGAAGAGGCCCAAGTACTTAGATCCTTGCCATCTAGATGGGAGATCTGGATGGGGTTCCTGGCTTTGATTTTGGCCTGCCCCAAAACTGACTGTTGTGCCCATTTGGGGGAGTGAACCACCAGATTGAAGATCCCCCCCTGACTCCCTTCCCCTGCTGTCACCCTGCCTTTTAAATAAATAATTTTTTTTAAATGGCAGTGTTAGGTCTAGTAGTTGAAAATCAGTGCTTGTGAAACGCATATGCAACTCTTGGTAACCTGCAGATTCCAGTTTATCTGGGATGTGGCCTCGGATTCTCCATTTGTGAATGAACTCCTGGGTCCTAGAGGCAGGTTCTGCATCCACTTTGGATAACAAGAATCAAGGCAGATTGTTAGATGAATGGTTTATATTTTCAAGGAGGGTGATAGGAGACTGGCCAAGGAACAAAATGAAGCTGGAGGCTCTGAGGGCTCTGCCAGGAAGGAGCACTGCGACCACAGGTCTGCCCACAGTGATCTGCCGA